AGAGAGAGAGAGAGAGAGAGAGAGAGAGAGAGAGAGAATGAATGTTTCACGGAGCGGGTTGTCCCAGCCCTAGGTAGTTTGAGGCAACCATAGCTCGAGGGACATCATACAAAGATAAAGAAGAAAAAAAAAAATGGGACCGCAGGCACAGTTCGGCGGATGTGTGATTTCAAGCCTTCTGTGTTCGTCCCATCCGTGTTATACTGTCAATTTAGTTTTAGTAGTAAGCTTTTAACCGCACTTGCACCATAATTTAGGTCATATAAAAGTGCTTAAGATTAGAGGTGTTACAAGAGAGTACTAAACACCACAAAAAAGGAGGAGAGATAAGGACGACAGATGTGTAATGAGAAAGATGGAGCAAACCACACTGGAGCACCTACCAACCAACCACTCACAACAACACACAAATAGGTCACATAAGTGCTGAAGAGTAGAAGTGTTTTCTACAGAGTAGCATACAAAGACAAGAAGGAGGAGAGGTGAGGGCGATAGATGTTTGACAGTTAAAGAATTAGAGCTGGATTTCAGTTTGAGAGTGGTTTGAACCTGAGCTTGAGTCTTCTCCGGAAAGAGAAGTGCCTCAACAAATATATGTGTAACTATGCCGTGGAACCAGGCGTTAGTCGGCTTTTGGGCATGTGGAGTTATTGGAATCATCTGAAAACTTTTTCATTTGCCTTGCTTTTCGATGCCAAAATACCCATTTATCTCAAATAGAACTCAAGGTATTTGAGACTGAACAAGGTAGGGGTCACCTGGTTTCAGAGGTAAAATTAGTGAGAAAATGGCTGCCACATTTTGGTAACTTCAATAGCTTGAGAGTCCTTGAAAAATCTACCCATTTTGAACATTTAATCAGCATTTTTCAGTAACATTCACATGGAAATGTGTCGTTATACCGGATATAAAAGGTACTGAGCCAGAAGAAAAGAAAGTCGAAAAAATAGCCAAACTGATGCACAAATGGCTGTTTCTTGGATTTCATTATTTGGACGAGGGCCTGATTTCACCACGATGCCTCACATATGCAGGACACAAAAAAAAAAAGAAGAAAATCATACAAAAGCAGACAGCAGCACTTACAGAGGATCTGGGCAGTAGTTTGGGTGCGGCATGCGTCGGCCGGCCTTCAAGTAGCGAATGATGTCCCAGTTGTCTACCCCTGGGTAGGGTACGAGGCCGCGAGTCATGAGTTCCCACAGGACTATGCCATACGACCACTGGAGAGGGAAATGGAAACGTGTTATTTTGGGGTTTTTTCATAAGTTTTGTAGCACTTGCCACAGAATTAACCTCATGTGGGAACCCCAGTGCAGACACTGTGACTACCACGAGGAGACCGGTGAACATCTTCTCCTTCACTGCCCAAACCTGGCAGTTCTTTGATGCAAGCTCCTACAGAACACCTACAGACTTACAAAGCCTGCTCTACTCTGGCGTTGACCAGATGACAAGGACATGTGGTTACTTGAGGGAGGCATTGTGCTGCCAAGAGCGAAATGCTCTCAGCTAAAAGGATTTGAAAACAACAACAACATAGCACTTGCAACATAACGAGGACATATATGCGTACGAAAGTTTACTGGAGAGAGAAAGAGAAACTACATGTTTTTTTCCTTTTTGTTAAACAGAGTTTTATATGGCGTTTGCGACATAATTAGGTCATTTAAGTGCCGAAGATTAGACGTGTTACTGGAGATTAACATACAAAGGAAAGAAGTAATTCTAAAGTTTTAGTACCAGTTTTACAGCAATTGCAACATAAATAAGGCATGAAGGTATAAAAAAATTAGAGGTGTTACCTCTCTCTCTCTCTCTCTCATGCACGAACCCAAGCATTCACACACCACATACACACACACACATACACAAATGTGCGCGAACATACACACACACCACACACACACACACACAAAGACACACACGCACACGACGTGCGCACACACACACAAACATGTGCGCGCACACCCACACACACACAAACGAGTACACACACACACAAACAAGCTGCTCACCACATCAGACTTGGCGCTGTAGTTTCCCTTCTCCAAGCTTTCAATGGCCATCCACTTGACAGGAAGCTTGGCCTTCTTGTTGGCCGAGCTGTAATACTCCTTCTCGTAGATGTCGCGGGCCAGACCAAAGTCCGCCACTCGCACGTGGAACTCTTCATCCAGCCTGGAAAAAAAGTTTGCTTTGTTTTTGTTGGGGTTTTTTTTTTGGTTAGATTTATATTTTTACAAATGAGATAGAAGATGTTTCTCTCTCCCTTTCCCCCTTCACACACACACAGACACACAGACACACACACACACACACACACTCACTCTCTCTGTCTCTCTCTCTCATTCTCTCTTTCTGAGTACCTCTCTCTCTCTGTCTCTGTCTCTCCCTCTCTCTCTCACGCACGCATTCATGCACACACGCATAAGTTGAAGGGGGGAAGGAGAGAGATTTTCTTTTGGTCAGAACACAATGTACTGGTTATACGTAACTGTTTTGTATTGTAAAGCACTCAGAGCCAGTGTACTTTAACGCTTTGTAGTCAGAAAGCCAGCAGTACAAAATACCCCATTTGGTCACCCAGCCATGAGAGTGACTGCAATGTACTTCTCCGGCCTGGCACAGAACTGCGCCCAGGAGACCGGAACGGATCATTTTCACCGGAGCAACTGCAAAGTGTTAATTGGGGTTGAGCGCTATATAAATGCCAGATATTATTGTTATTATCTTTATCATTAAATCAAAATGTCAGTATTTTTTTTATGCCCTAACAGACAATTTAGATCATTTGGACAGTGAGTTTTCGTCCCTGCTTGTCAGGATCAACCCGGACTGAGATACAACATCCCAGCAGAAAGACTGAGATACTTCATAAAACATCTTGCCTGGCTGAGAGGGATACAACATCCCAGAAGAAAGACTGAGATACTTCATAAAACATCTTGCCTGGTGAGAGGGATACAACATCCCAGAAGAAAGACTGAGATACTTCATAAAACATCTTGCCTGGCTGAGAGGGATACAACATCCCAGAAGAAAGACCCAGTGCATGTTCTTATGCACAGAAGAATTGTAAATGGGTTGATTTATCAATGTCATGCTCATACTGTGCCGAAACAACATAGAGGGAACTGCTGCTTTTTCTTTCCTCATCCTTAATATCGTCATTTTCTCTCTACTTCTTTTGTATGTTTGTCACTCTCTCGTGAACTGTTATTTCACGGGTGCCCTGATAGTCGAAGCAGACTTTGTGCTGTTGAGGTTAAGAGGTGAGCACATTAAGCCTGATTCCGTGTTTGGATTTCTCTATGGACATCCACCCCTTGACGTTCATATGACCTTATGGAGTTGCAGGCGCCGTAAAACCATACTAAAACAAAAAACAATTACCTGTACAAAAGACCACTTTCCACTTCCATTTAAAAAAAACAATATTACGATAACACCTGTCTACGATGACCACTTTTCTCCTTGACAATGAGTGGCCATATTGGACAAATGACGTATAGACAGCATCACAGCATGTGACAGAAAGCCTGCTTGTGTGTGCATGTTTGTGTGTGTGTGTGTGTGTGTGTGTGTGCATGTTTGTTTGTGTGTGTGTGTGTGTGTGTGTGTGTGTGTGTGTGTGTGTGTGTGTGTGTGTGTGTGTGTGTATGTATACGTGTGCGTGTGTACGTGGTGAAACACTAAACCAATGTGTCAGGATCTGGACAATAAAGACGTTTCTTATCTTAAGGTGTATCTTACATATCAGGCCAAGATTTTCCTTTCACCTTTGTGGTGGTGACAGGACGCCTCCCAAAGCCCAACCCCAGGTCCACGCCGCGGGAGGTGGAAACTGGACAAAGTAGGGGATTGCTGGGTTCAACGAAGTACGGTGTGGCGTTATGTTTATGCCACTGAGGCGTCACGCTAACCGTGAAGGAGAACCTGGGTCACCCCGAAAAGTTGCAGGCTAACGGGGCTCTGGTGAAACTGTGACAGGCCTAGCACGTCGGCAGTGGATTATTTATTGCTAAAAACACAAAAAGAAGAAAGAACCCTGGCTCTCCGGATAGCAACAGAGAGACGTCTCTTTCTTCCCGCGACACCCAAAAGGGTATCAGCGGTGGAGAAAAGTGAAGTAAAAGTAAAGGTGATAGGACAGACAGAGGTAGTTCTCAGGGAGGTACTGATACAAATCCCTCAAAGACGGATCATGACATAAAGAACAAGTTGTTAAAGGTAAGAAACACAGGGTCAAACTTTAGGTTATCAAAATCAGTCTACCGTGCAAGACGCCTTTTAGCCTGTTTCAATTTCATTCACCAGCTGATACCTGGCACGATCAGCAAGCAGACCCTTTCATGGATCCTGGAGAGGAGGGAGGAGCAGCTATGGCATTGTACCGACTGCAATGATGACTATTCTCCAACCAAGTAAGTACTAAATAAGTAATTTACCTTTGAACCATTTTGACAAAACCCTAGTCACTTTTTAAAAAGTTAACGTTCTGAGTTTTCAGTAAGTCACCCCTTTTGTTTGAGCCATCTCAATATATTTTCCCTCCCCCACGAGTAAAGTGGGAGAAAAGTACCCAGGATATATCTTTTCTTTCCACAATGAAGCACTACAGCTCAGAAAGGCATAGCTATAGGAGACAGCTCAGAAAGGCATAGCTATAGGACACAGCTCAGAATGGCATAGCTATAGGACACAGCTCAGAAAGGCATAGCTATAGGAGAAACAAATTTCAGCGGATAAATTTCCCCATTTTGTTCTTCGTTGACCCTGATATGACCTTTGCTTCCAGCACAGAGCTTGTACTTGCTGCAGGCTGGCTTCTGCTCTGGCCGATACAAAACTACAGTCAAATATAACTGGAGAACACAGACACTAAATGTCTTTTTTTTTTCAATTTCGCTGCAACACAGTAAACATTTTTTTTAAAAAAGATTTCAAATCGTTGTTAATAGTGCAAAGTTTCATACCAGTTTTTAAAACAAAGAGTAAAATCATAATGTAAAAAAAAAAAAGGTTGTTAGGAGTGCAAAATATTACATTAAAATAAACTTTTAAAAATAAAAAGGAGAAAAAAGCAAAAGAAAACCGGGTTACCCAAAAAATGTCAACCAAAAAAATCCCAACAAACAAATCCGAAACACAAACACAAAAAAAAGCGTCAGATTAGTAACTTACATGCAATTTCTAGCTGCGAGATCACGGTGAACAAACTTGAGACTGGCCAAATATTCCATGCCTTTGGCGATATCAATGCCAAACATGATCAAATCCTTTATTGTGGGTTGCTGAAATCCAAATCAGCAAACATCACTCGATTAGCAAGTCAGAAAAACAAAATCCAAATTAATATCAGTGATAAAGAGGTTTTAAAAAAAAAATGTTCCAGTCATTTTTTTGCAGGCAGATTCAACAGAAAATTAAAAGCTATTCCTAGTCCACCATTTCAATCAGTATAAAGATAAAGAGATATTAAGCACATACATTTCCTACCACCATGTTAATGTAGCAATTGCGGAAAAGAGATTACAAAATAAAAACATTGAGTGTAAAAGCTATTCCAAACTTTCTCAAAACTAGACAAAAAATCAAATAGACAGACCATAGAATGGGTGAGAAGGATGCTTTAAGTAAGTAACGCAGATTTAAACACACAAGGCAACGAAAAGACAAACAAAAAGAAAAGTCCCAGTTCGTAGAACACGACCATTTTTGAGTTATGACCTACAGTAAATTCCCACCTCAAACGACGATTTTGGTTAATTGCAAATAAACAATAAGTAAATTCCAACGATTTTGGTTAATTGCAAATAAACAGTAAGTAAATTCCAACGATTTTGGTGAATTGCAAATAAACAGTAAGTAAATTCCAACGATTTTCGTTAGTTGCGAATAAACAATAAGTAAATTTGTAAGAAAATTATGTTCTGCATCTCCACTGATGTGGCCTCCTATCAAAGTATGTGTCTTATCAAACTGTTTGTGCATTCCTTTATGAGGTTAAGATAAGATATATTCTTGATTGTCTAGATATATGTCTAAGACATATTCTTTGATTTTCTAGTCTATCAGTCAACGAGCAGGTGCCCCGAGACAATGTGCATTTTTTTAAAATGGAAAAGCGCAGCATAAATACTATTTATTATTATCATTATTACTATTATTATCATTGTTATATGAGCAGGTGAGTGCGTCAGGGCATACCAACCATGGGTACGTGAAAAAGAGAAGGCAGGCATCTCAAAGTAAGCTTTGTTTTCAATCCTGGCCATATGCATGCCGTTTTTTTGTATAACCCGTATTTAGGATATTGATTCATAATAAATGTCCCCTCTCTTAAAATTTGAAATATGTGAAGAGAGAAAAGTTGTGTTTTTTTTTTCACCTCACATATTAACTTGAGAAATTTTTTTTTTAATTGTCTAATAATTTTATTTTAGAAAAAAAAAAAAGAAAGAAAAAGACAAACACATCTGAAATGGATAACAGGTGATCATACTCAACAACAAAATTGCTCCCAGAAATAATTAATATGTCAGTCTCTAGGTGAAACTTAATAAAAAACGTTCAAGAAAAAAATAAGAGAAAGACATACATTTTTTTCGTCTCGGATGTAAGTGTGGAGGTCCCCATGCTTCATGAAGGGCAGCACGACCAGCGGCATCTCGTCCAGGTCCAGGCAGACGCCAATAAGGTCAAGGACGTTGGGGTGGTTGAAGTCTTTCATGCGCAACGCCTCCTCCAGGAAACTCTGTAGTTCTATGTCTCGGGGGTTGTTATCTATACACAGAAAAATGAGGAATTTTTTCCATATCCTTTTAGTTTTAGTAAGAGTTATACGGCACTTGCAACACAATAAAGTCATATAAGTGCCGAGGAATAGAAGTTAATGTTACAAGAGTGTAACAAACATAAAAAAGAAGGAGGGGAGATAAGGATGATAAATGTTTGAAAGGAAAGAAGGAGCAAACCACACCAGAGAATCCCCCCCCCCAACCACCTGCGCTATTAATATTACATATTCATGGTGCCCATTGAAGACAAAACCAACACTCAGAGTAATCGTTTGTGCCAAAACCAGATTATTTTGCTTCTTTGGAGTTCACCTTTAGTTTATAGAGTGTGAGTTTGAATGGACAGTACCTTTGCCTTTTTGTATGAGCATTTGTTATTGTCTGAAAGAAGGTGGCTGTCAAAAAGTGCGCACATGATAAATTTGTATGGAGTTGGTATGAATGCGATTTTAATCTCCTATGTACGCCTTGGGCCCATGTTGTGGGGAAAGGCGGGATACAAATGCTCTTATTATTATTTCAATTAGATCAAATAAAAGCCAAAGATTAGAGGTGTTCCAAGAGAGTAACAAACACAATAAGAAGAAGGAGAGATAAAAACGATAGATATTTGAAAGGAAAGAAGGAGCAAACCACATCAGAGCACTCCCAAACCACCAATAGGTTCTCCCTTTGTTGCAGAAAACCTTCAAGTCAATCTTGACAATGTTGTGTCCGGAAATATCTTTTTATCTTTTAACCCTTTTTATTAAAGTACAAGGTCGGTACCCTTTGTATGGCATGCCAGCTGAACTGGCACATGGCATCTCGCACTTGTTTACCACTGTACCAGAAGTCTACAAAACTCAGCCTGTGCATTTTATTTGTAATTAAAACTTTACTTTCGTTGGACGGAGCATTCATTTCTACTCAGTTTGCCGTTAAGCTTTTAGCAAATATGTTAGATAAATAAGAGCAGGTATTAGAGAAATTTGTGATGCTGAAAAATCGGATGTACAAAATCGGCTAAAACGCACCGTTGAAAGGCCATATTAGCAGTGCCACTCAGTATCCAGTGTGTTTACAGCCTGGCGGGGTGGGTCAGGGGTGGGGAAGGGGCGGGGCGGGGGTGGGTGGTGGTTGTCAACACTTGCGGCTTACATATTCGAGAGAAACTAACACGGATGAGTAAAACCAGACCATTTCAAAGTTCGGCATCACCGTAATCAATAACGGTATGATGTGAAAAAAAAGGACATGATGACATGTTGCTATGGCAACTGGACAACAGGTCAAGATGTGTGACTAGAGAGCAGATGTGAGCAAACAAAAACAGACGCGCTACTCACCGTGCAGAGTCTTCACCGCCACCAGTATGTCTCCCTTCTGATTTGGCATGGTCAAGAATCCTCGCTTGACACACCCAAAATTGCCTGAAACAGATGACAATTGTTAGTAATAATACTGATAACAACAACAATAATAATAATAATAATAATAACAATAATAATAATAATAATAATAATAATAATAATAATAATAATAACAGTTCGCCCGTCAATGTCCGACCGTGACCAAACAAGAATATTTCTCAAGTGAAACAGAACAATTAGAAGAATTAAATGCTTAGATGACTTGTGGGATCTTCTACTGCTTAAAAGACCAAGTCTGGCAGAGAAAAGTCTGCCACATTTTGAGAATAGAAAACCTGTGAAAGGTTCAGCTAAGTTTCATTAGCTCTTACAAGTCAGCAAATCAGCACTAGATGCTGAATACTTATTTCTTTTTTTTTTTTTCTAAATTTGTCAGAAACATCCCCATACTGTATCAATTCTTATAGCCTTATACTAGTGGCCGTAACAGTAGGTTTGACCGTTGTGTCAAAATGTGACATGTGACTTTTTGTCATAAGTGAGGCATTGTGGTGAAATCAGGCGCTCGTCAGAATAATGAAATCAAAGAAATCTGCATTTTTTTGGCCCATGGGCAATTTTTTTCTAATATTTCTTTTCTTGGCTCAACACCTTTTAGATAGAAAAACACACTTTCGTTTGGATTTTGCTGAAAAACATTGATTAAAGGCACAAAAATATAAATTTTCAATTTGTAAGGACTCTCAGGCTACTGAAATTACCAAACTTTGGCTGCCATTTTCTCACTAATTTTACCTCTGAAACTATGTGACCCTGACCTCCTTCAATCACAAATATTTCGACTTCTATTCAAGATAGCTGGGTACTTTTTTCATCAAAATCATGGCAAATAAACAAGCTTTAGGATTATACCAATAACTCCATTTGCCCTAAAATTGACGAGCGCCTGATTCCACTGCGTCGCTACACATATCGCTACACACAACTCATAATGAGAATGAGGTGAGTATCCAAACGCAAACAAACCTTTGCCAATTTCATCAGCCAAGGTGAGATACTTCCGGTTAACGAGCAGGTGCTCCGAGACAATGAGGTGCAGCGTCTCCTCATCGATGTGGGCCGTCGCCTGGTACGGGCTGGCTGAAGCTCCATAAATCCCTCCGTCCGTATAATCTGAGAAAAGGGACGAAAGAGTCAAGTCTTATATACAGAGGTCTCCAGCTAATAGCACCACCGTATCTCGGGTGATAAGAAAAGCACGCTCTTATCCTTTAATCAATGTTTTTCAGTAAAATTCAAACAAAAGTGTGTTTTTCAATCTAAAAGGTGTTGAGCCAAAAAAAGAAGTATCAGAAAAAAATTGCCCATGAGTCCAAAAAATGCAGATTTCTTTGATGCTATTAATTAAGCAAATACCCCGTACACATACACACTCC